AAAGGAAAGGAAAGGAAAGGAAAGGAAAGGAAAGGAAAGGAAAGGAAAGGAAAGGAAAGGAAAGTTCACTTGGGAAATGTCATTTACCAACTGTGCGTGAGGAGAGACTAGGGAAATTATCTGTCAAGGTAAGTTGCAAGTTTTTAACAAAAGTTTCAGAACTGCAAGTCGTGTGTGTGTGTGTGTGTGTGTGTGTGTGTGTATGATTTTAACTCAAAGGTTTCCAGGAGAAGCCTGCATCTTCTTTCCCCTCTCATCTTCTCTTTACTTGGTTGGAAAACTTTTTAAAAATGAGCAGCCTTCCCAAACGCAGCCCCCGGCAGATGTGTTTGACTACATCTCCTGTGATCACCAGCCAGATTTTGCAACTGGAATTAATGGAATGGTTGTCTGAGGGCACGGGCTCAGGGAAGGCTGCTACAACTCGGACCCCGTGCTCCAGTCTGGAAGGGAGGTGTGACCGGAGCCGGTCCTAGACTCACTGGCTGCCTCGTGCAGCCCCCAAACCTTGGTCCGCTAATCTGGGCTTTTGGCGTCTGTTCTTAAGGAATGGGGAGGGCACGGTCTGGCACCCCCGAGGCCATGACCGCCAGGCACCTGAGCTATCCAGTGCCCCGGTGCAGGGTGTGGCTCAGGGGTGGAGGCCAAGAAGTGCCCCTTCTGCTTCCCCGAGTTCTTCCCAGGAACTGGAAGCGCCTTCAGCCTGGCCTGTGGGAGATGGTTTGGAGGGCGATGCAAGGCGTGGTCACGAAGTTGCTTTTTAAATTTAAAGTGCCTTTGCATATGTTTAAAACAATGTCATTCTGCAGTTGCATTTTCCTTTTTCTTTTTTTTCCTCAGCTGTAATGCTGACTTGTCGCTCCATTGTTTCTCTTTTTTGATTCTCTGATCGATCAGGGAAAGCAAGCAATGCCTTGGACTGCCCATCTCTCAGTGCCATGGGGTGGCTGGTGGGGTGTGGTTGTGGGTGCGGCTTAGCCAGGCCACTGTGGCTCCCCCTACCCCAGCATCGCTGGCTTCTTGCGAGTCCGGGGCAGCTCCAGGTCCCTCTGTTTCTCTCGGAGTTCCAGGCAGGATGCCCAGTTCTTCCTCCATTTTTTTCCTTCCCCAACAATCCTGTGGGGTAGGTTGGGCTGAGGGAGCGTGACCCACTGAGTTTCCATGGCTGAGGGAGGAGCCAAACTCGGCCTCTTTAGTCCTAAATCCAGCACTCTGCTCTGACTTAGTATCATGTGTGGCTCCAGCCCATTGTGGCTTAGTAATTCAAACCATGGCTTAGCTGGTAAGCAGCCCACGCGTCTACGTCTAACAGCCCCAGGCATTCCCCTCACTCTTCCCAAGCCCCTTGCTGCTTATGGGCATCACCCCACGAGTCCCTCCAGCTGGGCCCTCTGCTGGGCAGTGGCACTGTGTTTGGGGGCAGGAGCAAGAAGGGCAGGGCTTCCGTGTCATCCCATCTTGTTGATGTTGCCAACTCTGCCTCCTTTCCTTTCCGCAGCCTAGAGCACCCGGCTCCCGGACGTTGCCCTGGCCATGCCCTTCCCTAATGAAACCTCCTTTATCTTGAGGGGCTTGCCTGGCCTGGAAACTGCCCACTTCTGGCTGGCATTCCCCCTGTGTGCCATGTATGTTGTGGCCCTCGTGGGCAACTCCATTGTGGTGCTGGTCATTAAGGCTGAACCGGCCCTCCACACTCCCATGTACTTCTTCCTCAGTATGCTGGCAGGCGTGGACTTGGCCCTTGCCTCTTGCACGATGCCCAGGCTCCTTTCTCTCTTTTGGTTTGATGCCAAGGAAATTGACTACAGGACCTGCCTTCTCCAGATGTTCTTCATCCACTCCCTCTCAGCTATGGAGTCCACCATCCTCTTGGCCATGGCAGTGGATCGCTACGTGGCCATCTGCCGCCCACTCCAGTACACGACCATCCTTACCAACTCTGTGACAGCAAAAGTGGGCATAGTGGCAGTGGTGAGAGGGGTGGCCTTTTTCCTTCCTCTGCCCTTCCTCATCAGTCGCCTGTCATTCTGCGGCCCCAGGGATCTCCAGCATTCCTACTGCCTCCACCAAGATATGATGAACCTAGCTTGTGACGAATACACACTGAACACTGTGTACGGCCTGATCGCCATCAGCCTGGTGATGGGCCTTGACTTCCTGCTCATCTTTGTGTCCTACTTGTTGATCATCAAGGCTGTCCTGCAGCTGAGCTCCAGGGAGCAACGCCTACGGGCCTCTGGAACCTGCGTGGCCCACATCTGCATGGTCCTGGCTTTCTATGTGCCCCTGATTAGCCTCTCTGTGATCCACCGGTATAGGAGAGACATGTCTCCCCTGCTCCAGGCCATTATGAGCAACACCTACCTCCTGGTCCCACCTGTGCTCAACCCCATTGTCTATGGGGCTAGGACTAAGGACATCAGGAAACGTGCCTTAAAGTACATGAGACTCAACAGGAGCCGGGAGTCTCACTGAAGCCAGTTGTGCGTAGATATCAAAGCAGATAGTTGTTTTGTTAATCCCAGGAGGAGGCAGATGGAGACAGAGGATCTGAAGTCCATTGGGCCTCCAGGTCAACTGCTGTCTTCAACAGCCTGCAGTCTTCTTGTTGCAATGGCCAATATCCTACAGTAATATCCGACCTGCCTGTGGAGGCTGAAATTCCCCTGTCTCCTATGGTTGGCCCCAATCCCTGAGCTGTGCAAACTGACCCCAGGATGGAGATTACAAACCCCTCCTGCCACTATTGCTCACCCATGGACTCCACAGCTTCTTCTAAGATGCCTGTATGTCCCTGCCCCCCATTATCAGAGGGGGCCACATCACGCCAGAAGAATCTCTCCGGGGGGCCAATTGATACATTTCCAATCTCTCTATAAAATGAGCTTCTCATGGGCGATGATGATGATGATGATGATGATGATGATGATGGGCAAGAGGAGAAGTCCTTCACATGATATGTGCTTCAGAGCTTATTAAACATAAGAGATCCATCCCTTGGCCCCCTTGGCCTCTACTGAGCATTCTCTCTCTTGGCTGGTGCGTCTGTGGGTAACAGAGCTGGAAGGT